TCTTGCCTTTTATGCCTTTTAAATTCTTTTTAATGCTACATTTTTGGATGCGCTTTATTTTTAGTTGTAAAAATAATAACTTGAGCACAGGATGGTTTATGTGCTTTATCTTTCTTGTTCTAGAAAGTGACTTGCAGTTAAGGTTGGACACAGATGGGTGATAAACTTTAGAATCACTAAGGTGAATATGCATTTGTCTATTTCTACATCATTCTTTAAAAAATGCCATGGTTGAATAAATGCTCCTGCTCTCTGGGGGACAAAGGGCCACCTGATCATGGAGGGGCTGTGAGACTCCATCTTTCCACCAGTCAGGACTTGTGGACAGCTGGGGAAACAGGGCCCTGACCCCTCCTTGTCTGAATGCACATCCGGAACTTCTATCTGGAAGGAGTTACCTGCTTCAGCCAGCAGAGGGCGGTGTCCGCACAAAAGTGAACCAGAAGGCTTCCTTGGTTTCTTTGGCCAGTGTTAGAATTCCTAGAGTGGTTTTCAACTAGAATTAGCAGTACTGATAGCACAGGAAATTAGCTGGGTGGGACAGTGGTTAAAGGGCTTCTGTCTAAAAGTTTAGGTCTGAAATATGTGCTTCCACAGCACTGCTGTTCAGGGAGGAATGTCCCCTTTTGAATGACTGGTAACCCACCTTGTGGGAAATTAACTCTTTAGCCATTGCTTTGGTGTAATTTTTCTGAGTGTGTGTATGTGTGTTTGGAGAAATGTAATGAAAAAAGCACAGACTTTTGAAGAGTGACTTAGGCTGCGGGTCTGGGAATGCCACTTACTAGCTGGCTTTGGGGAAAGTTAGTTAACCTTCTTCATTCTGTTTCCCTGTCTGCAGAACTGAGACAGAAATCTACTACGAAAAGATGCAGAGAGTGAGGTAATTGACTTATGCAAAACACACACTTGACAGCAAATATATATTAACTCCTTTCTTGAATCAGAATTCCTATATTTCTTGTAAAATTCAGTTGCTCTTTGTCTAACAGGGTAAGTGAGAGGTGTGAAAGCTGTCTTTGTCCCTTATCCCACCCTTCATGGCTAGTACAAATTTTCCTACAGAATTTCTGGTTGAAAATGTTGATAAACAATCGTGTCATTGATCATCTTAGTATTTTCTCCTATCTCCTTAATTACTACCAGTTGTCAAGAAATTTTTGAAAGGTAGTCAGTCTAGTTTTTCATCGCCATAGTTTTCGCTTTTGGTATTTACTGATTCTTTGTGTGTTTATATTTTGCATCGAGTATTTTTTTGTTTATTAAAAATTGGCAGAGTTAGGGTTCTGTAATATGCTGCAGATCCCATGATCAGTAGCAGTCAGGTTTGGAAATGTTAGGGGAACAAAAAATCAAACTCTGGGACAAGCATGCGTGCGTGAGGAAGGTCAGAGATCATATTTCTTGGGGTAGATGCTTCTCCTCCTAAGTAAACACTTGGGCTTTGAGATACTGAGTTTAAAAACAACAGCAACTGCAGATATTCCTGGTGGAGAAGGGCAGGGAATGTGAATAGAGAGGAGTCATGAAGAGGTGATGAAAAATATGTAGCGTTGAATATCATTATGTCAAGTGTGAGCCGTGGCAAAGTAATCTAAAGATAGGATGAAAGAGGCAGAAAAAAAAGAAAGCAAAAATTGAGCTTGCCATTTTCTTCAGCACTGAGGCAGCCTGAATCCTGAATGCTGTGTATACAATAGCATATTTCCTACGGGCTGGGCGTATTTTGAATGTGTGTTTGTAGACGTGTGGTATTTCCATGTATGGTGGTGTGTACGTATGATGCATGTTAGATGAAATGTTCATGGGGACATTTTAGGGATCATGACTTTGGCACCTCGCTGGAAATAAGCCAGGTTCCCTGGTGTCCGGCTTGGCGGCGGCAGGACTGAGGCTGCGGAGGATGAGTGCTCCCACCAGGCCCCATACTCGGGATTTGGAGCTTGTGGGTTTTCCGGGGTTTCACAGCGGGGGGACAGTGGGTGTTGGAGACAGGGATCTTCCAGCCCAGGACCCACTCAGCCTCCTCACACCCCTTCTCCACCAGCTGAGGGATGCGGACGTGGGTTTCCCCAGAGGTCAGGCTTCTGCGGTTCATGACCCTCCTCTTCGGCCACTGTGTTTCGGTGGGCGGTACTCCCTGTTGAGAGGCATCGTCTTTCTTTTGCTGTAATGTGGGAGGGTCTTGAGGTCTAAACTTCAGATCTGACTGTTGTGGGTCGTAGATGCTTTCTTAATAACCATTAGCTGAGGTTTTCATCATGACCTTGGGTTTTTGGGGGCATGTGCTGTTCAGCCCTGTCTCTGATGCTGATCTTTATTTTCCCTGTTCTTTATCAGCAGTTTGCCCTGCTTATCTCTTTCAGGTCAAAAATAACTAGTTAGTAAGTTCTCTCTCCGGTCCATGAGCAAAGCCTGTTTTCTTCAGCCTTTGTGCTTTACTCTCTGTGCGTAGCACAGGCAGCTGACAGCTCCTCTAGGGTCAGCCCCCAGAACCACATGCTCACGCCTGCCTTAGCCTCCTCCCTCCTCCGCTCTAGCGTGTTCCAGGGAGTTATGCGCAGTGCATTGGGAGCAAGAAGTGATCTTAAATGGCCCACAGGAGCCAAGCAGAGGCTGGAGGACAGAAATGCAAAGGCGAGAGGAACTTGGTTCTTTGGTTCTAGTTCCTCTTGTGTAGGAAAACAAGGGAGAGGGCCTTCAGCAAACTGGCATGGACTTGGACCTGACTCCCAAATGTTAGAGAAAAGCCTGACCATCGGGAGAAGCTTGTGTGGCCGTCAGCCAAGGGGTGGTATATTAAATTTGTACTTCGATAAATTGAGTTTGGTCACAGTGTGGACTAGCCTGGAGAAGAACAGAAGGCAGCGACCCTGGCCATTCAGGGACAAGAGAGGAGAGAAGAGGTGGGCTATGAGTGGGAGAAAGGGATTTGAGATCTTAGTTGCAGGGCTACGGTCTGAGACCCAACCAGATGAGTACGGAGGGGGAAGAAGCCCTGGACCCAGGCTCTTGATTTTGACGACACCGGGGTGTGAAGACAGGGTTAGTTGTAGAGGGATGGCCTCCGGACATAGCTGTTAAGACATAACCAAGGGAAGCATTTCTTTCAGGATTGATCTGCCACAGCTGGGGAGGTGGACAGGTTCTGCAGAGATTCTGTCTGACATCAGAACAGCGTGTAGAGTACCTGGTGGAGTCTTTGATGGTGTGTCCCTGCCTTTTCTTCAGACTTGTGCCAAAAATGAAAGGGACCAGGGTGAGATAAAACTCTAGGGCGTTGCTTCCTGTTGCTGCTTCTCTGTGCGTCCTGAGATGTGGAACAGACTGGGTCCGCCCGAGACGTCAGCCGTCCTGCTGGGGTGAGACAGTTGGCATCCCTGGGGCTCCTTGTGTCTCCTCCTGGGATCAAGCCCGTCCCCTTAGTTAACAGAAACCACTAAATCCTACTTGGGCTTTAGCACTTCCTTCCTGGTAGGCAGCTCAGCTGCCAGAGCCGGAATTCATCACCTGTTCTTCCCAAAGCTGCTGCTGCTTCCTGACTTGGGAGTAACTTGGCTCCTGGAGGGAACCTGCTCTGGCCGCAGTCTGTGGGTCCACGAGAACCTCGTGCAGACTCTGCCCTGCCACATCCCTGCTGTTATCTGGGACCTGTGGCATAAATAATTCTTCATCAACGAAAGTGTAGTGAAGTGTACACATCACGTAGAGCGTGTAAGCTGTATTAGTGTGCAGAGAGCATGTAGTGTAGTTTTTGGCCCATAATGAAAACTCACTGAGTACTTTTCCTTTGGAATTTGTCAGTTGTGCACCGAGAGGTCGGCAGCATTGTATTCACCGATTGGGAATTACGGTGTCACCTAGAGCATGCAGCCATGGGCTTGTGGGGCCTGGAACTGCAACATACTTAGTGCCGTCAAACTTAAGAGCCACCTCTTTGTGTTTGATGAATCAGGGAATCTGGGAATGTTTAATAATTTTTTTATGTGATTTAAAAAATATGTGTTGCAAAAACAGTTTCTGCAGAAAGGAATGAGTCAACATTGTTTTGGCTAAAGTTGGGTTTTTGTTAATGTTAGATATGAGAGGAAGGGTGAAGGGACTCATTTCTCAGAGGAATAAGCAGAAACAAAAATGTTTTGAGAACGGTTATATTTAGATATATTTTTAGCTTTCATTTTGATCCCCAAATCAGGATTTAAAATTTAGGGATCCTGTCTTCTGATTGAGTCACCACACCTGTCCTCCAAGTCACGTCTATCCGTGTGTGATTGAATGTGAAGGACCCGAGCAGTGATGTTTTATTTCTAATTAGATTTCTCCACGGTTTGGACTGCTTTTGTTAAGTCGCATGGAAGCAGATGGCCCCGAGTTCCCTGCCAGTCCCCTGTCTTTCCCCCTCAGCACAGACTGGCATTTCCAGTGTCCCTGAGTGTCCTGTGAGCGCCAGCCCTAGCTGTCTTTGAAGCCTAAGTGTGCAGATTCCTTGTTCAGCCCGATCTTCCCCTACTCTGTTGGGAATCCTTTGTTTCATCAGTCAGATACGAATTCAACTCTGCAGAGTTGTTGCGGCTCTGAGACATCATACAGCTTCAGTGGTCTCTGGTGCTCTCCTTTCTCTGAGTAGAAGCTTCTTGCTTTCCTCATTCTTAGCCATTGCCACAGAGGATCAAGGTGTGTGCCAAACTAGGAGTCAGAAGAAACCTGTAGTTTTGACTGTGTCCCACGGAAGAAGTCTCTTTGCTCTCCTTGGTCATAAAAATGTTTGTCTTCCAGGAAGAGGATGGTGTGAGTCTCAGTTGGGTGAAGTAAGTGAAAAGCCTTTGAATACCTAAGCATGATATGGGAGTAAAATGATTGTTTATTTCCAATTCAAATAATAAAAAAAGGCAAATGTACATCAGAGTAAGATTTTGCTTCATGTAAACGATGGCTTGAGTTGCAAGCTAGCCAGAGAAATACCTCACACATCTTCTGTTTTGTATTTTCCAACCCACCAGGACCGGGACCAGTATTCCCATCTGCCCAGTGACCATTTCCTGGCGTATCAAGGTCACAATTCCTTCCGTGAGAAGTATTTCAGTGGCGTCACCAAAAGGATTGCCAGGGAAGAAAAATCTAGCCAGGAGTGAAAGTTTAGATTTTTGACAAGAAAGATTATTTGGACAGAAAAGACACTAGGACATGAACTTTCATACATGATCCGGAAAACATGGACTCTTTTAAAAACTTTTTATATGAAGATGCTACAAAGTAAATTGAGCAATTTAAAAATTATCTTTGTTTTATAGACTGTTTTGTTGTATATGCTATGAGCTCTTTTGAACCTTATTTAACTTATAGTTGTACTTTCAAGTATTAGTGGAGATTGTCTGAACTGTTACATTTTTACAATTAATTTACAGAGAAAATGTTGTGGACTTTTTAAAGTATCTGCCAGGTAATGGTGTAGGCAGTTAATAGTGGTTAAGAATTGATTCATTTGTAAATTTGTTTAGTTTGATTTTTAATTGTAACCGATGTTCACGGCCACCAATAAACGACTGTGATTTTTCTAAAACTGCGTGGCGTTCAGTACTTTTCAGAGGAGTTGTGATGGGAGACGAGTTTTTATTCCTCAGTTCCAGGCAGGTGAGAGCAGTGAGCATGGTGAGGATTAGAAGCTCAGACCGAGAGCTCCGGAAGGTTCCAGACTCCTGCAGGCTGTGCACATCTGAAGCTTGTCTGTACCTTGGATCCGCTCCTGCATTCCTAAATCTTGACTGTCGCTCAAGTTAACTACCCTCAATTTTTGGTTTAAAGCTGTAACAACAACACAGATCCTGATGGTTCCCTAATGGTATTAAGCTAATCAGTGCACTTTGAAATAGAAGCTGTATTTGTCTTGAAGGAGAAACTTTGCTGAGTCCACACTGTGTCCATCATGGAAAGGTCTTGTTTGAAAACCACCAGAGCCATTAATTCAAGATGCTAATGGCTTTCCTGCCTTCGGTGGTCAAATGTACCTCAGCAGGGTGGTGGTAAATGGATCCTCTCTCTCTAACCAGAGCCTATTTTTATTTATGTTATTATTATTATTTCAGTGTTACTGCTGACTTTTATGAACTCGCAGTATTAACTTACGTGGCATAGGAGCTCCAAAAGACCAGTGCTGTCCAAGCAAAGAGAGGTCAGGCCATCCGCTTCATTCCCATTTTCTTGTCTTGCAGCTCTGGATTTCAGTGGTGGGTCTCAAATGTTTCAGTGATTGTTTTGTTTGGGTTTCTAGATGTGATTTGTGGTACACTGGGGAAAATCTAAAAGCGTTCAAGGATGATTTATTTTCAGTATTTCTGTTATAAGCCATCTTATTTAAGTTTTTGAGGTTATATGGGATGTGAGTATGAAACTTTGTAGCTGACTCAATTGGAATATGAGATTCTAGCTTAGGCCTTCTTTTAGATTGTCACAAAAATTAGTCCAAGTAGTTTTGAAAATTTTCAGTATTAGTTACTCTGCTCTTATAAATTATCCAACACATTAAAAAACTTTGAAATTATTTGTCGTTACACTGATAGAAGTCTTCTGACATTCAATTCTTGTTAATGCTTATGTTCATTTGTGTAAGTTCCAATTTCACATTCCTGAAGTGTAACAAGTGTAAATTTGTGTAGTTGTTTTGAAATTGATACTCAGGAGTGAAAAAGAAACCCGATCACTTTCAGCCAACTTTGGTTTTAGAGTATAGGTTTCACACCCTCTTGCTCTACAAAGAGACTTTCTTTTCTGGCATCAGCATTGCATTACCTTCGGTATAAGTTATAGGAGATCATTTTTGGGATGGCTTGAGCTCTGTGTGAGCACTGTATTCCCCATGCTCCTACAAGCAGGACTATCACTAGCATGATTCCTGCATCTCAGAAAGTGCTATAGTGTGAATCTGTAGTATAACCTGGGAAGGATGCTAGCTGGTCTGTGGACTGGCCCGTTTAATGTTTGTAATATGGCAAAAGCTATTCTTTTGTTTCTGACCTATATTACAGAGCTATAAAATCCAGACAGTTACCTTGGTGGTATTTCATCAGAAATACTTTCTTCCAGTCCACTCTGTGGAGTACTTTTTTTCATTATGATAGCTGGGAGGGAATAGCCGAGTAGGTGGTCTTGGGTGTGTTTAGCCAAAGTGGCCAGCAGATTTTTAAAAAGTTTAAAATCTGTTAATATTTTCTCAGTCACTTCCTACCCAGAGTGACCAAGCTTCGAGCTAGCTTACCACCAACTTCCTCGTGGCTAACTCTTTAAATATAAGGGTTGGGTAATGAAACATTTTCAAACTGTTGAAGCTCTGGGAGGTAAGACAGTCTTGCCACTATTTCCTTGTTGAAAAAATTCACTCAGGTATGGAGTTGCCCTACATCTTTCAGAAAACTGAAGAAACAGTGCTCAGGTTTGATAGGATAAAGCAGAGTGTGAGTTAACCTCATAAGATTGTTGTGCTGGGTGTGTTCATTTGGGTAGAAAATGTGCTGTGAAAGTTTGAGACATGGAAATATCTTATAATATATTTTATACTTAGGGTAGATTAAGGAAGCAGTGTAGATTATGTTAAGATTTAACATCAGGAAGTAAGATGTTAGAGTTGTGTTATCTCCATGCCAATATAAGCAAATCTGTCTCCTGAACAAGAGGCTATGATCGTTCGGTGTAAGGGTAACTGCTGACATACTGTGCTGGAGACACTACCAAGTATTGCTATCCAAGGAGAGAGAGAGAGAAAAAACATAATGTTTCTTTATTAAAAGCCGAAGGTGACCTCTTTTTGGTGAAATGATCTTTCTATGCCATTTTAATAAATCTCCCTTGAAAAGCACAGTGGAACTAACCTGATGGTAATAGGGGGAAAAAAGAAAAAAGAAAGAAGAAGTTCTGCAGCTAAGCAGGGCATAAATAAATTCATCAGCGCAGCACAGGGTGGGAGTGGAGATGAGTGTTGCCAAAGAAATTGATGACCTTACTGTTGACCTGTTTGACCAAAAGAGAATAAATTACACCAGAATAAGAACCTTGGCTCTTTTCTGCGAGAATATGGTTTTGGTCCATCACAAAGCTATTTAGAAAACTAAACACTTGTAAGAATCTTTTTCTTAGAAGGATTGTATTCATAGAGTAAGTGGAGTTTAACTTTCATTTCCAACTCACCCACTCCTATTTTTCTCAGATATTTATCAAGTAATGTGGTTTGTAATCTAAACAAAAAAAGTGCCCTAATCCAGAACATACACATGGACATGATAATGCTAGGCTGATGGTGTTTGTGTTTTACTAAAACATTGAGATCTTCTCTAAAACAGAGTGGTTTGTGAACATAAGGTCTAGAGTGTAAAGAATTATAATGGAATGATAAACATATCTGGGATTCTATCTAGCCATAGAATCAGAGAGACAGCACATTCCTGTCTATCCTTTGGGGTGAAAAAAAGCTGGGGAGTCTGACTCTCCTCCCTTAAAAGAGGTCTGCCTCAGGATGTGCATATATGTTTCACTGTGTGGGAAAAGTGCATTGACATTTCGACGTAATTGAGGCCAACCTGGCGTTTGGCTCTTACCCCAACATGCAGAAGCCATTGTGGACAGGCTTGGGAGCATGGAGCTCTAACTGTTGTGGCAGTCTCTTAAGAAGCCTGGGTCATGGGACAAAACAAGGCTTAATAGATGAATGTTCAGATAAGCCAGCTTCCCTTACGCAACAGCCAACCCTATTTCTTGGGCTTTTAGGATGTGCTTAGTATATTTTTGTTCTAGAGTTTGAAAGTTCTTACTAAGATAATCGTGTTGCAGTCATGCCTGGAAAGGAATCTGCTTTGACATTTTAATCTGTGACTTTGAACTCTCCCTGTTATTCAAGCCTTGCTGGCCCCCCCGAGGGTGCATCCGGAGGCCTCTGTTTTGGCTCACATCCAGTGGTGGAGATCAGGTGGGCTTACATGTGAAGGTAGTAAGACCAGCAGGCAGAGGAGAAAATAAACATAAATGGTAGTGCTACTGGAGTTGTGTTTTAATGGATATCTAAATATTTCATCCAATGTAAGTTGGTGAAATAGATCACAATGGTTAGAGTTGGAATTGCTGGATGGCAAAAATCTGCAACTGTCCCTTAATATTTGTGTGTAAATCATGGACTCATTTCACCACAAGTCTTTATTGCTTTCAGTATAAACAGCAGAAGTTTGCGCACCCCCACCTCAATTCTGCACCAATGTCTCGAATTCCTGAATGTTTTCTAAGGGAGGCAGTGGACTCCTGTATCTGGAATCCAGGGCTGTTCTGAAATCCAGGATGTCTGGATAGTGAGCTAGCCCTAACGCCAACTTCTGGAGCACAAGTCCAGTTTGCATTCAACCTTGGAAGACAGACAGTGTCTTCCCTCCAGAGTAACAGGCATCCTTAGTGCCTATGATACAACACTTGCATTCTCTCAGCCCATGGTCTCTACTTTGCAATGGAACCCACCGCATGCAGACACCCATCTGGCCTCTCCGGTTACCCCTCTGGGACTACGTGTAAGGAAGAACTGACTGCGACCTGCTGCTGACCAGGCTGCTCGCTGTGCTCAGAGTTCATGGCTCTGCCGTGCTCGGGGAAAGTGGCAGGCTGTTACCTTGTCACAGGGCAAAAATCTCAAACTCTGCACAGTTTTGGAGAGTTCTTGGTAATGAAGATAGGATGTGACCGAGACATGGCTCATGGGAGAGAATGGGGTTTTGTGGTCCAGTTAAGAGCATCAGGAGGAAGTCCATAGGAAGTGCTAGCGGAGACATTCGGCTCTCCAGGACTACCTGAAGATACATGGTACTCGACGTTATTACCTGTTCATGAGGCAGAGTTGGGCAAAGTTGCAGACCAAGTCCCGGGAAGTAGGTGTACAGACAGCTGGCCACATGGGGTTGCTGGGTTTTCACTAACAGCTTTCTGTGATTGGGGTGGGGTAGGGATGGGAGTTTCCTCGGCAATGTGCAGTTAGCGCTGGGTGCCTCTCGCCAGAACCATTGGTACTCAGGGCTATTCTGGGTGGACTGAAAGTCTGCCTCTACACACCAGACACACAGACACACACTGTAAGTACAGAAGAGAGGTTCGTGACCCCACAGGCGGGAAGTGGGTGAACTGGCAGAACTTTGGCCTTGTTGCTTGGGAGATGAGGTGGCGGGGTGGACGATCCTTTCTAGGGGAAGAACGGCAGCTGAGCTCCTCCTGGCTGAGCTCCTCCTGGCTGCCCGCCTTGCCAGCCTCAGACCCTTCCAGAGTTGTCCGTAAAGGGCTTTTGTTTCTCCAGTGGGCCCTTGCTGCTCTCCGGGGGCTTCGGCCTCCCACACCACATGCTCTGTTTTAACCTGACCGGTTTATGGAAGGTGTTAGGGATGGGGCTGAAGTCTGTCCCAAAGGAGGACCAAAGGCCATATGTGCCCAAGTGAGTACGCCAGCTTCTGTATCCCTGTTGGATGCAGGGCCCTGTTCACAGGCTTATCCTCTGGGGAGGGGACAGGAATCCAACTGATGGACTCAGGCAGGGCTACGGTGGAA